TGGACTCGGACTCGGACGCTGTCACTGACTAGCATCCATACACAGACTCTGTTGAGATTCAGTGGAATATGAGACCAAGACTATAAGATTAAGTTATCAGTAACAGGTGGAATGATAACGAGTTGATGAATACGTAATAAAGCACGTCAGCTCTATCTCATTTATGGTACGCAACTAACTGCAATCGTACGACTCAAGTAGTCGCTAGCGCGGTGTGTATACATATAAGGTAACAATGTGAGTGCCTGTGTGTATCTGTATGACCCACTCATCGGTATTGTTCCCAATCATCTTGCTGAGCTTTTTCAGTCGCTGTGGCCCGATAGATTTCGTTAGCATATCGGCTTCATTCTCCTCTGTTGGTACATACAGTACCCTGATGATTCCTTTCCTCTCGTAGTCTTTTGTCTCGACAATCCTGGTGAGTGTAGATTACTGATGCAGCTTTGATTGTCCTCGTATATCGTCGTAGGGCCTTCCTGGTCCTCCCCCAGAAACTCGAGGATGTCTCTCATCCAAATGCACTCTGGCAGCTTCTGAGAGTGCCACGATCTCAGCTTCTGTCGAGGAAATGGAAACGCAGTCTTGTTTCTTACTTGACCAGCATACAGTACCTCCATTAAATTAAAAAATGTATCCCGAATTTGACTTCCTCGATTTCCTGTCTTCTGCCCAGTTCGCGTCTGCATATCCGATCAGATTTTGTTCTCCTGCTCATTGATCACTCAGCTTCAATTCATAATTTATGGTAGACTTTGTGTACCTGCAGACTGTCTGTAATTCGTTCCAGTCTACTTGTCTTGTCCCCTGCACATGTTGGGCCAGAATATTAACACGAGCTGAGATGTCTGGTCTGGAGTTGGTTGCCTTCACTGGAGCTGAATCAATTCTGAGAGATTCGAACTTCTTCTTATTTCTAGCCTTGACGTTTTTAAAATTAGTTTCGTGGAGTTCTGCCAGCTTGAACTTTATATCCTCTATCAAACCACTGGGGAGAAAGCCCTGCAGGTCAGATACTAAGATCTTACACTTCTTCTCTAATTCAGTTATTTTCCACTCAGTAATACTGATTACTAAGCCAAGAATGGCATTACTCATCCTCCTGACTATCATGTCTGCTTTAGTTTTAAACCGATGGTCGTCCAACTGAATGAGAGTGATCAATTTAACGTTGTTCATAATGTGTTTGGGTACGATGCCGTACTTACGACATTGAAGTAAAAAAACCCTTCTATTCCTCAATGCTGCAAATTTTTTCGTATTATTTTGCCAGTGTTTTACTAATTCACACGTTTGATTCCCGTACACTCGTCTGATGTTCTGACAGAAACCCTTTGCATCACAATCAATGAAACCATTCATCTCCATAATTATTATTAAGAATCCAAGGTCATGGGGTATTGGAGAAAAACAATAAACTGCACTATGTTATTGTCAATCAACAATTGTTTCGCTTGTAATTCAAGCTTCCTCAGGCTCTGGAAACCAAACATGTACATAAACTTCATTAATTCAATACAATACTACAATAAATGATAAATTAAATCGTACAAGTCCATGAAGTTACTCAGAAAAATAATAAGGAATAAATAACTCACGTTAATAGGCAGAGCCAACAAATCTGTACGTCTCAAAACATAATTAACCAGAAATACCTTGACATTTAAGTACATAGTCACATTATTCTCTAATGAAATGCATGTCGAGATCTTTAAACACATCTGTAAGTGAACAAAAACGTAAAACCTGACTGGCAACAATCTCATACGACTATTATCTATCACTTCCATCAGTGACGGGTTCGGTAAACCAGATGTAACCCCCACCAACAGACTCGTCTCCTGCACCACAGTCATGTATATGTTTCATGTATATGATTTCCTTCAATTGGCCGTTTAAGAAAGCTGTTTTGACGTCGAGGTGAATAACGTGATAGTTGTGCTTTCCTGCGATTGAGAGAAGAGTCCTTATGGTTCTAGTTTTTACAACTGGAGCGAATACCTCATCACAGTCGATCCCGTATTTTTGGCAGAAGCCTTGGGCTACTAATCTCGCTATATAACGTTCTTGTTCTCCATTTGAATTCCGTTTTATTTTGAAAACCCACTTACAGACAATGGGTTTCTTGTTGGCTGGAACTGGTTCAAGGTCTCATGTGTTGTGTTCATCAAGAGACTGAAGCTCCTTCATCATGGCTACTCTCCAATTCTCTGCGTGGGATCCATTCAATGCTTCATCGAAAGTTCGTGGCTCATTCTCTTCTCTGTTATCGGTGCTGGGTACCTCATCCTGTGTTGGATTCTGGTTGTATTTTACTGTTGATGATGATGGTATTACTGGTGCTTGGTCGGATTGTTCACTGGATGATGGGCTGGTGAGATCAATAATTTCATCTTTTTCTGATAACTCAGGACTATGGTAGTCGCTTGAACTATGGCTTTCTAGCGATTCCTTACTGCTTCCGGTTTCTTTCCTGCTCTTCATTTTTGAAAGTTCATCGGCTTCTTCATCTCCATGAAAAGGTATTGTGATCTGCTGGTGAGTTCATTTTTCTGCAGTTATTGGAAAAACCATTGGGTTGAATTCTTCCCCTTCAGCGCGATCAGATTCAATAAATTGCACATCTCTGCTCGTGATGACTCTACCAGTGGATTTTTCCAGTAATCGATATCCTTTGGTGTTTTTCGGGTAGCCTAAAAAAACACAGTCATTTGTTTTTATATTCAATTTATTCCTTTTCCCTTTAGGAATGTGTACAAGGGCTTTGCATCCGAAAGGCTTCAGGTTCTTCACGTCGGGTTTCGTACCGAACCATAGTTGGAAACGAGTTGTTGTTTTAGGTCTCGCTGGTTGACGGTTCTGGACATATGCAGCGGTTAGTGCTGCCTCTCCCCAATAAGTCGGTGAAAGTTTGGCATCTGTCAGCATGGTTCTGACTGCCTTGACGATGTACCTGTTCTTTCGTTCCGCTATACCGTTTTGTTCGGGCGTGTACGGTGTTGTATGTTGGAAAATAATCCCTTGACGTCGTAGATGATCTGTCAGGTCGTTGCTGAAGTATTTTCCTCCTCGGTCTGAACGAAAAACTGTCGGTTTGTTTCCAAATTGTGTCTTGCTGTATTCAGTAAAATCTTTGATTACTTCTTGTGCTTATGATTTGTGTCTTAATAAAAAAATATGTGTAATGACTGAAATCATCGATTAACGTCATAAAATACCTGCGACCGCCCGGGGTAGCTGTCGGCATCGGTCCACACAGGTCGGTATGGATCAGTCTCAGGGGTCTGTCAGTCGTTGTCGTTGATCTTTTCGGAAAGGGTTTCCTTGTGATCTTCCCCTTGATGCAATGCTCAGATTTGTTTGGTGGGGCAATCTTCAATGTTAATTCCGGTGGCCAAATCATGATTGCACAGTTGTCTAATTGCTTTAGCATCCCGGTGTGCAAACCTGGCGTGCTACTTATGTATACAGTTTACAGGATGCTGAGGCATGACTGCTAGTGCATATTCCGGGGTTAGTCAGTTTATACATTTGACTTGTGCTGTCACCTACTGCGATTTCTTCTTGATTTTTGAAAATGACCATACGGTTATTCCTTATTTTGAGATAATAGCCTTGTTTGTCTAATGATCCAACGGAAATTAGTCCAGACTCCAGGTCTGGTACATAAAGTACGTTGTTCAATTTCAGTGATTTCGTTTCACCTTCAGTTGTCAAACACACTATTTGGCCCATTCCAATGCCAAATACAGTGCACGAGTTTTTGTTTGCTACGCGCACCGTCGATCGGTATTCTGTATCTAACTTTTCAAAAAATTGGATGTTGTTTGTTATGTGGCTACTGGCAACTGAATCGAGAAACCAATTCGCTTTCATTTTGTTTTTATGCACGCAGTAAGCTTCATGTATCGTGGTTGTTGAGTCACTGTCGCTTTCGTTATTGCTGGATTCATCTGGTATTACTGCTGCGACTTTCGGTTCCTGTATTTATTTTCATTTTTCTTCCAATTTCTGTATTTCGTGGATTCGGCTTTTGTGTCCTTTCGCATCACAAAAATAACATTCCAGTCTTCGAGCAAATTTATTCACTTCCATTGCCATGTTGTATTGATCTGTTGAAGCGGTTCCTCTCTTCTGCCTTTTGTACTCTGCGATGAGTGTAGCCTTGACATTGTCCATGGCGAGTTCGTCTTCTGGTTTGGACCAGAGACTTAATACGATTATTTCGTATGATGGAGGCATACTGTGCAGTAAAATGTATACTCCGAACTCTGTCACGGATTTGGATCCAAGAGCTACAAGGTTTTTAATTATCATTTGTATTTTGGTTTCGTGTTTCTCGAGGTCATCGTTTTCGTTCAATTTTTGTGCAAACAATTCTTCTACCAGCATGTATTTGTTTGCACCGCTCGCCTTCTGATGATAGGCTTTCAAGGCTTCCCACATTTCTTTTGCTGTATTTTTGCCATCGAAATGATAGTGTTGATCTTCTTCGGTAAATAAACAAATTGTAGATTGGGCTTTTTCATCGCGTGTTTCCCATTTCTCTAATTTCTGTGGATTCGTCGGGGTACGTCTGTGTTACTCGCTTTCCATGATCCCCCTCTTTTCATCAATGCTTCTATCTTCACTTTCCACACTTGATAATTACTGTTGTTAAGCGATATTATACCATACATTTTTTGATTTGCATCTGTCCCTGACGCCATTTTATCTATTAGTTTCTTATCCTCATTTTTTGAAATTCACTATGTGTGGCTTTCTTACTTACGACAGTTTTTCTACCACCCGAACAGATTTTTCTTATTAATCTTCACAATGTTGTCCCGATACACATCTAACGGCCCATAACCTGTAGAGATTCAGTGGAATATGAGACCAAGACTTTAAGATTAAGTTATCAGTAATAGGTGGAATGATAACGAGTTGATAAATACGTAATAATGCACGTCTGCTCTATCTCATTTATTGTACGCAACTAACTACGACTCAGGTAGTCGCTAGGGCGGTGTGTATACATGTAAGGTAACGATGTGAGTGTCTGTGTGTGTCTGTATGACCCACTCATCGGTATTGTTCCCAATAGACTCGGACGTGGACTCAAATGTGAACTCGGACTTGGATTTGAATTTCAACTCGGGCTTGGGCTTACATCCCAACTTGGACATGGACTCGAACTTGGACTTGAAGTTGAATTCAATCTCGAACTCGCACTCAGACTTCAATTCAAGTTTAGATTTCGACCCGAACTCGGACTTGAACTCAAACTTTGACTCGGACTCCGACTCGAACCCGGACTTGAACTTAGAATCGGTCACGGACTCCAACTTGAACTCGGACCTAGATTTCGAGTCAAACACTGGCTCGCACTCAGACACAGACTTGGATTTGGACTCGGACACAAACTTCGACTTGAATTTGAACTCGGATTTGGACTCAAACTCCTGGCCGTGTAGCTCTACTTGTAACTTATATTCTGTCCTTGGTCCATCGACGCTCATTCTCACCCTGATGGTAGCTTTGACAGTTACTCCCACTTTGTCTCTAGCTTTGACTCTCGCTGATATTTCTGCTGCAAGGATACCAGCCATAACCGTGACTTCAATTGCGACTCTTGCTCTAACTCTGACCTTGCTTCCCTCCTCACTCCGACTTAAGCTTTGGCACTAACTTTTGACCAAGATTTGATATTAATTCTCACCCTGGTTTGAGCTATGACGCTCCCTAGTACTCTGACCCCAGGATCGACGTTCATTCCCACTTGGGCCTCTGCTTCAGCTTATCTCCTCACGGCGACTTCAAATTTGATATTCACCATCACCTGGACTCTAGCATTTACATTTTCTCTTACTCAAGCCTCAACTTTGGCTCCTGTTGGTACTTTGGCACTGGGTGCAGCCTACTTTTTGATTCTGTCGGTAGCTTTAACGCATATCTCTCAGATCCTCGCAGCCGCGGCTCACATTATCAGTCTGATCAGAGGTCTGCTTGTACTGTGACCCTAATTTCAATAGCCATTCCCACTCTGTCTCTAGCATACTTTCTCACGTAAGTGATAACTTTGACATTCGTTATTGCTTAGACCCTAAAATTAAAATTGATTCCGACTCTAGCCCTAGCTTCAACCCTAGCTTCGCTAGTGCTCTAAGCTTCAATTGAATGCGCATTCTCATCCTAGTGCTAGCTTTACCTTCAGTTAGCGGTTTGCCTTCTGCTTTGGTTTTCACTTTCGCTCACTAGCTTTTGCTTTCATCTCCGTTAGTTGCTCCAATCTAAACGTTGACATTTATTCTCTCTAGCATAGGCTCATGTTTTGAATAAGTCTCTAACTTTGTCAGTGATATCCACCCCGGTGCAAGTTGCTGTCTTCCAATTGCACTTGGGCCTTAGCTTCGACTCATTTCGATTCATTTCTCATTTTCAATTCATGCATTAGATTTGATATCGATTCTCACTTGAGCCATAAATGTTATACTCATTCAGACGATGGCCTGAACTTACATATTATTTCTGACTTATTTTGACCTTTGTTCTTACACCTTTACTAGGTTGGACGTCCGTTCAATTCTGTAAGGCAATTTTCTCATAATAGCGTCTGATCAAACATGCTTGAACATTAATGTGCTAATTTTACGCAATTTTGCCTAGTCATTTCCACGTAATTCAATGAATAAACAATGATATCGTGGGTACAGAGCTGATCAGAGAAATGTCAAATGAAACGAACATAATAATCGACATTTAATGAAGATTGTGACGGCGTTAACCAACGTGAACCTCATAACTTAAAATATAAACCGTAGACTCATCCATAACTTGATGCGAAACTCAAAACAGCCGGAGTGTTGTCACCTTCGGCCTCTGCTCCTCGATGTCCCCATGAAAATCTTTGAAAACAGAATAAATGAAAGAAACGGAAAACGAGAAAATGTTGTCGGGCGCAAGCTGACTTTTGTTCCAGCGGTGTCAACGAACCGCATTAAAGAGAACCATACGAAAAACTTAGCCATAATTGGGGAAATCAAGGGAAAAGTTGCGGAATTAGCTCGACTAGCTCGGAGGTATTCGGAGAGCGGGCTAGGATCGGTCGCTCGGTCTTAGGAAGGATGTCGCGAATTCAACAAAATATATAGAAAAATCAAGAGGAAGAATCAGAAAATTAATTAAATAGGAGATGAGAGAATTACTTTAAATTTACTCCGTGATATATTCAATTTCTCAATAATAATTCAACTCAAATAGAATTTCTATTCCTCATAAATAAAATAAATTAATTTCAATTAAATTCAACCAAATTAAATTCAATTAAATTCCCGAGAGTAAAAGTACGTGAATTGACCTTGAGAGAAAGGTTATCGCGCAGGGAAATGGGGGGTCTGAAGAATTCAAGCCAACGATCTCTCCGCATCGTCCTGAAACTGGAGTGCTAGAGGATTGAGGGCTATGTTAATTCCAGTGCGATGATCTCGGCGAATCTTCTAAGAGTAGTAAATGACAATTAATAGGCGAGGGACTCGAGTGTGCAAATGTCACTTAAGAGTGCCACTTTGCCCCATATGCGAGTCCGTCCTCCATCAAGAGCGTCGTGGCATCACAGGAAAATTCCTGGAGCTCACGAGCTTCAATGTCGTGATTTTCGGGGTCTCGTCCTCCGAGAAACCTTAAATTAATGAATTAATACCTTGGGGGAACTTTACTGAGCTAGAAGAGCACTTATTTGAGGCTTCAATTCGCTCTAGAAAGAGAATAAACGCCATGTGCACGACAGCGTCATCCACGGTACGTGAGGAGCATGTGTGCACTTATAGGCATGTTTTATTCACTTTTTCCCACTAAAAATGGCACTGGACATTCCCCATACATTCTCGAGGGTTCTAGTGAACTAATTATGCATTCAGAAGGGGCATTAATTGTTTAACAAGACCTCTTGGTGAACGGGGAGGGCACAATGGCACCATGGCAGGGCATGAGCCATGTGCGGCCTTTTATTGGGCGGCCTTTCACTGTTCATTCTCACTATCACTTGAGTGTCACTGGGGTTTTTATAACTGGGGAGAGGTCTAGGAAGCCGAACGAGGGTTTTACGTACTCACTGGTACATTTATCCACTCGCTCGGAGGAGTTTTGGTGGTTGGGAATGCATCTCGGTGTCACCCTCGTGGACGCCGGTGCACTTTTTCCGGAGGTCATCACTGGGCACACTGGGAATAAATGCACTTCTCTCCTCGGGAGAGAGTGCACATGGTGAATAAAAATGTCCTTACCATGTTCCTCCAATTCTCTCGATCGCTGTCGATATTCTCGGGGATGTCGTCGCAGTGGCTGCTCGGGTCCAATTCTCTGGTAAATTGCGTTTAACCGGCGGATGTTCTCAGCTGGGTGGTACGACCGGCACGCCGCCTAGCTGCCGCTGGGGCGGGCTCATGTAAACGAGCACGTGGGGATTTCAATTCAAATGGGTTTTAGACTTATTTAGGCATTTCGCCGTTAATTATATTTTTAGGAACTAATCCAAAGGGTTTTTATCTGTAATGAGTGAACGATAGGTATCTGGAGGTTCGGAAAGTGGGAATTAAGACAGTTGTTCGCCTTTTCTCCTCGCGAATGCATTTCACACCTGAGTGAGTGTACTTTTTCGCTGCTGTCACACCCCGGGAGTCATCCTGGAATCACCGTGAATAAGTGGGCTATATTCATCCACATGGCCTTCCAGCTGCACTGGTGAATTCAATGACTCCACGAAAAGCCTTAGCCAGGGAGCGTGAGTATTTCACCTCAACCTCTGTGATCAGCAGCCTGCACTCAACGAGATCAACAAGATCTCACCGGGAAGCTCGGTTTATCGGCTCTGAACCACGGTGGATCGTCGTCCCTCTCAGGATCCGCGAGGTTTTAAATACAGAAATATAACTAGGAAAATACAATTACTGTAAATTTTCCCTCAACCGTAAAACCACAAAATAATCCCCTAAAATCCGAAATAAACCAGGAAGATAACTGAAAGAAAAGAGAACGAAAACTTTAATATTACTTGAACCGGAGATGTTACTTTTTACTCGTTTTTAATGTGTATCGACACTTGAATTTGATTATTTTTATTGAAATTGATTGTTTGATTATTTTTATTGAAAATTATTTTTATTGAAATTGTTTTCCCGCGAGGCTCTTCCTGATGTTCTTGGAGGCCGGTTTCCGCGAGCTGGGGCTGGAGCTAAAGGGGTGTTGCATCGCCCTCTCTCTCTCTCGGAAAAGATCCAAATAATTTCACACTTAACTACTCACTTTTACGATGTACTTCATTTTACGACGGAGTTGTGTACAGGTGCCGGAATTCTCGAAAATTCCGTCACAAGGTTTAAATCACAGTGGGTCTGACTGACGTTCCCCCCCTCCTTTTGCCTTCCACAACCAAATGGATGTTGTTGCAGTAGCTTCCTCATTTTTCTTCACCTGAGTAGCTCCTGATCACATTCAGAGGAACATGAGGATGTCTACTTCAATAATTCTGCTGTCGCCATTTCTGAGTAATCAGGCGGAATATCAATTCAAGTAATTCGGTTGTGAGTTTGCTTCATCTCCAAGGCCAATTGTTGAGAAATTGTTCGAATTTTTTTCCTCCATAAACAACATACAAAAGAGAAATGAGAAAAAAAGCGAAAGAGTAGTTGGTTCGCCCCGCAGATTGTCTCATTCATTGCAAGCTACTCTTACAAATACATTCTGATGGCCGGAGTAGATGCCCCATTTTATTTCTCTCGGAGTAGCACTTGATGACAATAAGAAGAACAATATTGAGTCAACTCTGTCGATTGTAATTGCGTCGTTCCTATGTAATCGTTGGGAATCGCTCATCTAACGCAAGTTGCATTTGATGAGAAAGACAAAAATCAAACGGTTGCAATGTCGGATTGTCGTAAAGTTTGTTCTCATGATTGAAAAACTTATAAGTATTTTAACAACACTTGCTTGCCTTCCTTTTACTCCAGGAAAATGTATCATTCATTTCCAACACGTCTGTTTAGTTCTGAAAGCCAGTTTCCTCGCAGTAGCGCTCCATCACACATCCTCAAAGATTGTTACGCATGGTTTACGAAATTTCCTGTATTTGTTTCTCTGTAATTCAATTGATAATGGATAGTAGCCTAGATAAACTGAACATCAAACCAACATCCGGCCGCCAGTGATCGGAGCCCGCATTCTAGTACTGTACTAAGTGTGTCAATCATTAGATTCTCCTTCAACAAATGATTTCAATAGAAAACGGCAAAAGACAATGTTCGTTCGAAAATTGTCATCTATAAGGATGATTATTTCACATTCTCTTCTGCAAACACTCGGTTTTGAGAAGAAGAAAAGACGGAAAACAAAAACCTAGAAAATTTGTTCAGCTAAATGGAAGCTACTCGTTCTTAAGATGATTGAAAAATATTACAGGTGATTTTATTGTAGAACTCATTTTATTTTCATTCATCGAAAATTCCGAACTTTTTTTATATCAAATTATTGAGATAATCAGTAGTTTTATGGAAAAGTACCAAAACATATTTTCCGTCAAGAATTTAATCACTTAATAGAAACGCATCGGAAAATT